TAGCGGTAAATGCACTCACACAGCATTCTGTTAAAAAAATGAATCTACCACAAGCCAGTGGGGCTGTATTCCACAAATATAGACTCCACAGCAGAAAGCTGTTCATGTAATTAACAGCTCTTTTGAACTAAAAGCTCAAAAGAAATAAAAAGTCATATAAGCTGCCGGGCGAAGTGGCTTATGCCTGTAATCCCAGCACTTTGGGAGGCCGAGGTGGGTGGATCACTTGAGGTCAGGAGTTCGAGACCAGCCTGGTCAACACAGTGAAACCCTGCCTCTAAAAAAAAAAAAATCATATAAGCAACCTCATAAGTGCAAAAAAATGTCTAAAATGCATTTGAAAAAACTCAACATGTCTCTGATGTTAACTCCTATTTCATAGGAATAGATGGATATTGCTTAACATGATTTTGTATATGCCTGTGTGTGCTTGTGTGTGCATGCGTATTCAGACACACAAGGAAAGAATGATCAGCACTACTGTAATTCTTTAACACTGCTCTATAAGTACAAGCCAACAGAAATTTTGAAAATATATGTTTTAAAAGTGCTAAATTTATCAAAATTGTAGGCGATAAGATTGACCACCTGGAGAAAAAACAACAAAATTGTCAACTGAAAAAAAAATAGAAATAATAAAACAATATACCAACATGATCAGTAATAACTATTAGAAACAAAAATGTATACCTTGCCTGTATGTAAGCATTAGCCTCCTTTTAAATACAATGGAAGAGATTTAAAATATTAGTAAAATTGCTAAAATAACCAGTACTAAGCCTAAGTAGAGGTGGCAGGAGCAGCTCTTAAGACTGCCCCTTCATTCTTGATTCCCTGGCACTTGGAACAGGGCCTGACACATAGTAATAGATATTTGTCAAATGATGGAACTGCTTCACAGATTGATAAACAGAGCGCACTTAATATGCAATAATAAAAGTAATCACCATCATATAGTAGGTCCCTTTCGTGGCCACTGTCCTATCCTTTACCTGTAGGCTAATCTACAGGTAAAGCCTCTAGCTTAGTCTACAGGTAAAGGATCTGTCCTGTACCGTGATCTATCCTGGAGAATGTTCCATATGTGCTTGAGATCATGTATATTCTGCTGCTGTTTAGAGGAGTCTTTTGCATATGCCTGTTAGGCCCAATTGGTCTGTAGTATATTGTTCAGGTTCTCCATTTTCTTATTGATCTTCTGCCTGGTTGTTCTATCCATTATTAAAAGGAGAACTGAAATCTCCAATTATTATTTGTCAATATTGCTTTGTATATTTGGGTGCTCTGCTGTTAGGTGCATATATATTTATAATTGTTATATATTCCTGGTGAATTGACCTTTATCATTATGTAATAGCCTCCTTTGTCTTTCCTGGCAGCTTTTGACTGATATAAATACGGCCATCCTTGCTTTCTTTTGGTTACATTTGCATGGAATAACTTTTTTCATCCTTTCACTTTCCACCTATGTGAGCCTTTACTTCTAAGGTGAGCCTCTTGTGGGCAGCGTATATTATTTGTATCTTTCTATACACTTTAGCTGTAATAACTCATTTAATCTTCATAATAACTCCATGCAGTTGGCATTATTGTTATCTCCATTTTTACATGAGGAATCTGAGCCACAGAAAGGGTAGGCAAAAGAGATGAATGACAGTAAGCAATACACACGACGAGAAGTTAATTGCCTTAATTTAGAAAAACTTCTTAAAAAGGTCCAGTAGAGTGGAAATTTGAGCCAAGCACTTGACTCTGAGTTTATGCTCTTTGTATCCATCTTTTCACATAGTCAAATTGGGATTTTGAATTTAGAGGGAGGATTTTGGGTTGGGGAGTAGGAAATGGATTATTCAAACATGACTTTAGTACAACTATGCAGCCCTTTGAAAACAATAATAAAGCTGTGTCCTACCACAATCCCTACACCAAAATAAATTCTAGAGGTGGCAAAGATATTTTAAAAAGAAAGAAAAAAGCCCAGTGTTGCAGCTACTCGGTGGCTGAGGCAGGAGAGTCACTTGAGCCCAGGAGTCCAAGGCCACAGTGAGCTATGATTGTGTCACTGTGCTCCAGCCTGGGCCATAGAGTGAGACCCTGTCTCAAAAAAGAATAAGATGAAGATGAAAGAGGAAGAGGAGGAAGAAGGAGAAGAAGAAGAGGAGGAAGAGGAAGAATGAGAAGGAGAAGAAGAAGAAGAAACCTTCAACAATATAAGTGGAAAAGATGGACAAATATTTTCATGATTCTCAAATGGGAAAGGCTTTTTAAGCAAGTCCAAAGGCTGCCGTAAATAAAGTCAAATGACATTTTGCAATACACGGGACAAGAAGTTAATTGCCATAATTTAGAAAAACTTAAAAAATCAATAAGTCAAATTAGAAAGGACAGAAGCAGCAGACAATTCATGGAAAAATAAGTGCAAAGGTCAATCAGTCAATAAACATGAAAACATGTCTGTCCTTTTTGACAACTGAATTACAAATTGAAACAAAATACCATTTTTAAACTCACTGTCAAAATCTAAAGGCCTGATAATCCACACTGTGTGAGGGTGGAGAAAAACAGGCACCCTCATGAGTTGCTGGGGCAGAGCTAACAGGTTCCCCCTCATTGCAGGGCAACTTGACAATATCTACTGGAATGTTAGGTTCACATAAGTTTTGACCCAGGGATATCCTCTAGCCGGCCTCACATATGTGCACAAAGATACAGAGTCAGGCCGGGCACGGTGGCTCATGCCTATAATCCCACTACTTTGGGAGGCCAAGGCAGGTGGATCACTTGAGGTCGGCAGTTCGAGACCAGCCTGGTCAACTCCAGGTACTATCATGGAGAAACCCTGTCTCTACAGCTCACAGCTGTAATCCCAGCGCTTTGGGAAGCTGAGCAGGTGGATCACCTAAGCCCAGTAGTTTGAGACCAGACTAGGGAATAAAGTAAGACTTCATCTCTACAAAAACTAAAAAATCAGCCAGGCATGATGGTGGGCACCTATGGTCCCAGCTACTTGAGAGGCAGAGGTGGAAGGATCGCTTGAGCCCAGGAGGTTGAGGCTGCAGTGAGCTGGGATCATACCACTGTCCTCCAGCCTGGGCAACAGAGTATGACACTGACTCAAAACAAACAAGAAAACACAAAGATGTTCATTACAGCTTTCTTTGTGCAGCAAAAAATGTAGAAATAACCTAAATATCAATCAACAAGGACAGATTCACAGAAATTGTAGTGCATTGGTTCAGTGGAACACTATGAGCTATTAAAAGAATGGAGGGCTCTGTCTGTGCTGTATGCAGAGATGTGTGATGTATGTTAATTAGCAAAGCAAATATAAGTACTGGGAATATGTTCCTGGTTGGGTTTAAAATAAAGATGCAGGCATAGAGAGAGAGATATATATATATCTATATATATGTATGTACATGTGTGTGTGTGTCCACATTTCTGAAAAAATTCTCAAGGAAAATTTATGAAACTTGATGATATTTATTTTGGAGGGTGGGGCATAGGTCTGAGATGGCAGGGACATCCATGCTATATATCTTTTCTCTTTCTCTTTTAGAGACAGGCTCTTGCTCTGTCACACATGCTGGAGTGCAGTGGTACTATCATGACTCACTGCAGCCTCGACCTGCTGGGTTTAAGCAATCCTCCCACCTCAGCTTCCCAAGTAGCTGAGACTATAAGTGGACACCACCACACCCAGCCAATTTTTTTTTTTTTTTGATACTTTTTGTGGAACCAGGGTTTTCCCATATTGCTGAGTCTGGCCTCATGGGCTCAAGTGAACCTCCCACCTTGGCCTCCCAAAGTGCTAGGATTATAGGTGTGAGCCCCCATGCCCAGCTGAGATTTCATTTTCACGGTGTATTATTTTGAATGGTTTGATTTTTTTCCTAAGCATGTTATTTTCAGAATTTAAAGAGCATATTGAAAGCCGGGCATGGTGGCATGTGTCTGTAATCCCCGTTACCCAGCACGTGGAGGCAGGAGGATCAGTTGAGCCCAGGTGTTGGAGATCAGCCTGGACAACACAATGAGACCCCATCTCAAACAAAACAAAACAGGAATATTTAAGAAGAAAGAAATTATAAGGGGGAGAATACCAGTTAAATTGCTTCACCCTGAACTTTGTTTTTAACTTCGTTTCTCAGTGGGTTCACCTCTTCCTGCATTCACAATTTCAAATGTGGATGGGCCCAAGAGATCACCTCCAATCTTTATTTTGTCCATGAGGAAAATGAGAACTAGAGAGGATTTAGCAAGCTGCCGGGGCTCCCTGGCTAGCCTGGCTGCAGAGATCGGGCTCCTGTGATACTGATTTCAGAAAAGGGACCGACGACTCCTTTATGCGGATTATACTTGGGCTTGTCTGCCCTTTTCCAGTGTGTCGTCAGTGCTCTGAGTCTTACTTCCTAGGCGCCCATGTGGGGAACTTGTTAAAATGCAGATTCCCAAACACCTGCCCGGAGATTCAAGTTCAGTGGATCAAGGTAGGGCCCTTCCACCTGCATTTTAGCAAGCCTTCCCTGACAGATAATTCTGAAGTAGGTAATGTCTATGACCCCTTTGGCCTCCCCTAGCTCAGCCCTGCTGGCATTGTCTGTGCCTTTAGGCTGAACCACACCAGTAGGGGAAAGTGGGGTACTCCAGCTCAGCAGGGGAAGTGACAGAGCTGGTGCCTGGACTCCCAGTATAGTGCTCTCCCCACAGCTGCTACTTAACTGGGATGAATGGTCACTCCCAGCTCACCCACCCCAGGGGTGGGCACTGGCTGGCCTGGATTTGGAGCTGGGGCAGGGTGGGGGTTGTGGGTGCATCTGGGGTACCTCTCACCCCATCGGAACTCCCCAAGGCAGGCCTTGTGGGAGATACTGACAAGCATGTTGGAGCTGGGAGGGGCTTGGCCAGCTTGGGCTTGGGGAGGAGCTGCAAGGAAGCCAGGGAGGACTGGGTTGCATGCCCGCCTGCCCTGAGAGGGTTGTCTTGTGACTGTGCCATAGAGTCTTGGAGGAGCCTCCCTCGAGGTCAGGAATCAAGTGGGGACACTCAGAAGCACCTTTTCCTGGGGACTGATCAAGAGGAGGGAAGGTCCTGTGACAGCCCAGAGGCCACGTGGAGCCCAAGCCCTGAACCTCAGCTGCTGCCCCAGGTAGGTGCCCCTGGCATCATCCCACTACCCATCACGGCTAAGCCCTAGTTCCAGTTCCCCACCTTGAGCCTGGGAAACATGGCCACCCCGGCCATCCCATGGCCTGCAGCTCTCCAGCCAGCACTTGGGCAAAGGCCCTCCCTAAGCCTTCCTAAACCCACAACCTGCCAGGATGGGGGCAGGTAAAGCCTAACCCCCTTCCGAAGGGCACTGTCCCAAGTGACTCTGCTCATGAGGCCTGGGAAGGGGCAGAAGATGCTCTGGCTTTGGTTAGGATGTCCTCTGCCCCCTAGAAATGCCCCCAGGGCTGAGCTGCTAGCTGGGCCCCTGTTGGTTCTTGCCTAGCTGACTTCCATTGAGGCTGTGTCAATGAATTTCTGTATTGGGGCAAGCCCAGAATCCGGCCAGACTCCACTCTTCCAGGAGTTCCCTAACTCTTGACACTTTTTCCTCTAGGAAAGGATTAAGACAGAGGGTATCTTCATAGACTGCTAGAGCTGGCGATCTTAGCAGTAGAATCCAACCGCAATCTCTTTTTACTTCTCAAGCATTACTTACATCAGTAATGTACTTTCCAGTGTTGTGGTTGAACATCTCAGAGGAAACAGGCGTAATCTTGTCAAAACAGCACGGGAACCCCTTTGGCTTTGGACAGCACTTCCTGGGCTCAGCGGCCTCCCCTTGCCCCCCAGCCCAGCCTGTGCCCCATGCTCCTTTTCCTCTTCGTCCACCTGCCCAGCAACTCCTCCACCTTTGCAAAAGAGACATTGAGAGTGGCTGGACATCCCAAGCCAGAAGGTATTGAAGCTAGGTTAGCATCTAAGTGAGAGAGTCCAGGAAGCTTTCCAGAGGAAGCTCTAACTGTGATAAGATTTCCCTCTTTGAGAGTGTCTCAAATATCTCTTACATGAAAGAAGATGTTATCCTGCATGGGCTGCTGGCTAAGAACACTGTGATTGTTGCTGTTATTGATAAAAGTAATCTTAGATATCGTTCTTTACGTCCCCTTTATAATTTCCTGGTCCTTTATTGGGAGACTCCTCCGGGGCAGGGAGCCTTAGCCACAGGCAGTGTTTTGCTTCTTTTCCTCTGGCTGTTCCCACAGCCCCAGCCTTATGCCAGACCCTTGCTCAAGATTACTGGGAGATGCAGCAGTGGAGCCAGATGGGTTCACATCCCAGCTCAGCCACCTGCTGGCCTTGTCATCAGTATGTACTTCTGTCTCCTCATCTGTGCAATGGGGTTAACGATAGCACCCTAGGGTGAAGATTAACTACGGTAATATCTGTGAAGTGCTTGAAACAACATCTAGCACCCAGTACGTGCTTAACACATTTGATCTGATCATTGCAAAAGTCTGTTCTCTCCCAGCCATAGTCTGCTGTCAGATCAGCCTCCCTAAGGCACAGTGCAGTCATCCAATTCCTCGGCTCTATAACCATCCATGGCTTCCCATTGCCTAGTTAATGACTGTGCTCTAACTTCACTTGAAGGGCTTGAAGGCAGAGACAAATACTGTTTACCTTGCATGTAATGAGGAATCAGTAATGTTTGCTGGGAGAGGGTTTCCACCCTCAGGGTGTGTGAACTGAGTCCCTAAGGAATGGAAGTGCAGTCACTTACAGCCCATCTCTAGGGGTTTGATCCAAGCTCTTCTGCCTTTCCAGCCATAGCCTGGTCAGGAGCAGACCTGGATATAGGGCTCTGGGCTGCACACAAGGCTAGGGGTGGTTTCCCTTGGATTCACTGGGCCTGCAAATGCAGCTAGCCCTATTTTGAGCACCAGCCTTGGTACACATCAGAGTCAAGAGAGGACACCTGGCCATTGCCCAGACAGGCAGTGATCACGGTTATAATGTGTACTCTCTGATGAGTTCAGGCCAGGCAGCAGACGTGACATCATTGTCCTCATTCATCATGGGGCCGTGGCCAAAACTTTGGCTCCCATGGCTCAGGCAGCAAGCCTGCGGCCAGCAGAGACTACCCATGATCTGGTATCTTGGACAGAGAACTCAGCTAGCTCTGTCCTGCATCTCACCTGCCCCTCTGGTGCAAAAGAGGCCACACACTATGGAGGAACAAGACCTGGGCTAGGACAGGACAGAACAGCATTTGAGAACAGCCTCCTCATCTGGTAGAGAAAACTCTGCTGCATCAATGAATTTATTTATTTTCCCATCTGTAAAATGAAGAGAATAACACCCACTTCATAGAGTTGGGGTAAGGGCAAAATGGAGCCAAATGCCCAGAGCCACTGCATGTGTGGAGTGGGCACTTGGGAATTTGCAGTGATTCTGATCAGACCATCTAACTTATTCTCCAAACTGCTCAGTGGAGCTGTTTCAGTCCTGCAAACCTGTAGCTTTCCTTAGGCGAAATTGTCCCTGCTTGGCCTCTGCTCTGCAATAAAGGTAAACAGTGGTGGTTTTTGGCAGGAGCAGGAAACAGTTCAAATGTTTCCAGAGTCCTGGTAAGGGTGGGAAGTGTGAGAGGGAAGCAGCACAGGTCTGCATGCTTTTCTTGGAGATTCTTCCACTTGGAGGCTCCGTGCTGCCAAGCCCAGGAAGCCAGGAGTGAAGGGACAGGGAGGGGGCAAACCAGAGCATGCTGGTTCCTGCAAGGTAGTATTTTTCTCTGTTTTTTTTTTTTGTTTGTTTTTTGGTTTTTAACAGAGTCTTGCTCTGTCACCCAGGCTGGAGTGCAGTGGCACCATCTAGGCTCACTGCAACCTCTGTCTCCCAGGTTAAAAGGATTTCCCTGCCTCAGCCTCCTGAGTAGCTGGGATTACAGGTGCCCGCCACCACACCCAGCTTTTTTTTTGTATTTTTAGTAGAGACCGGGTTTTACCATAGCCAGGATGGTCTCGATTTCCTGACCTAATGATCCACCTGCCTTGGCCTCCCAAAGAGCTGGGATTACAGGCGTGAGCCACCCCACCCAGCCGGTATTTTTCTCTTTATCCTCTTGACCAGTGAATGAATCTGTTGGGATTCCAGGCACTGGACTAGGCAGCAGCAAGTAAAACAAATACAACCCTGCCCTCGGGGGACTTTTATTCAAATGGAGCAGATAATAAACAGTGTAAACTATGGATGAAGTATGTTAGAAGGAGATAAATGCAAGGGCAGTGTGGGGAAACACAGAAGGAACGGGAGGGGAGTCAGGAGTGCCAGAGGAGCTGTTATTTAATAGGATGATCAGGACACACCTCACTGGAAAGGCAACATTTGAAACACACAGGTTGTTTGCTCCCCTTGGGGATTCCCGAAAGGCCCAGGGGCTCAGAATCAAGGCCAAGTACCTTTCATGAGATCCTAGAATAGGAGCAAAATCTAGATGCTCTTCTAGTCCCAGCCCAGAAAATGCCATGCCCTTCCTCTGAAACCTTCAATAGCTCCTCACTGCCTACAGTCAAGTACAAATTCATTCAACCAAGATTCAGGGCCTCATGACCTGTTAACCTCACCAGACCCTTCTCACCCCACCTCTTCAGCCAAGCTAGTCTTCCTGGGTTTCTGGAATAGTCCACACTCTGTTTCCCTCTTCCTCTCATTTTTCTCTGCCCAGACTATCCTGGTTCCCACTGGTTTCTGTCAGTAAGGAAATCCACCCAGTGTCCAAATGCCACCTCTCTGAGGCCTTCCATGACCCCTGTGGCTGCAGTCTCTGAGCCCCACAACTTGGCTTGTTCCTTTCTCCGCATGTGGCTCTTACTCTGCCTTGGGTGTAGGCACTAGTTTTACTGTCTGGTCTCTACCCAGCTGGAAGTGCTCCGGCAGGGCCTGGGCAAGTCTGGGACTCAGCGAACACTGGCTAAATTGTGTACCCAATCAAAGACTCCCAGTGACACTATGACAAGCCAGGCCCACTCAGACAATGAAGGCAGAAGTGGAGGCAGGCAGGAAAGGACAGATAACACGAAATGTAGGTGAGAGATGATGGAGGAGCTAGTGAAGGAAGACAGAAGTTCCCATTGTACTTTTTCCAGAGAGGCAGATTGTCGCCAACAGAAGGAGGGATCCCTCTATTTTCCCAGAAATAGCTTGCACTCCCTTCAGTCTCCCAGGCCAGTGCTTCCTTGTGTCTAACTAAAATACCTCTTGCTGCAGCTCATTTTCTCTGGTTCTATCACCTGGCTTCAAGTCACCATTCAAGTCCTCATTTGGCCTGGACCAGTGTGGCTTTCCTGATCCCCTCCCCACGGAGCAAGGCCAGAAAGAGGCTACTCCTGGCCTGGGGCTTGTGCTCTAGTTGAGGAGGCTCTGGTGATCCCGAGCCACATGGAGACTGCCAGGGAGCTAAGATGTGGGGCCACCATGAGTCATGGAGGTTGTGCCGGCCATCAACCCTCAGCCCCTTGGCACAGCCTCCCTGCAGGGCTAACCTTCATCACAAGCAAACCTGTGACTAGAGAGCTCCCACTATGGCAGCAGGGATTCTCAGGCCCCTTGTGCCCCCCAGGCCCTGTGAACCAAACCCACAGCCTCTGCCATCTGGCTCCCACCCGTCACTGGAGCAGCTGTGCTCACAGCCCACGAGGCAGCCAACATGGCTTTGGCCCTGTTTAGACAGACGGGGCCAGAGCCTAGAAACAGGCTTCAACCCGGCCCCACTCCTGGCTCTGCTGCCCCTGAGGGATGGTGCATTTCCATCCAGGGGACCTGAAGCAGGCCCACATCTTGTCCTGCTGCCCCTACCTCCCACCATCTCCCTCTCAGTTTTTGTGCAGGCTGAGGTCTCCTTCTGGAATGTTCTGCCCTGTCCTCCACATGGCAAGAGGCCCATGTGCCCTCAGGCTGGGAATGTGATTTTTTGAGGCCACCTGACTAGGCTCAAATCTCACTCAAGGACAATAGTTCCCATCCTGGTGGTGATGTGAGGACACAGGTGCTCTTGTGCTTCCAGAGTTAGCACAGCCTCTAGAAGGTAGTAAGTGCTCAGTTAAAGTCATCTAGTGCTGTTTGTCTTGTCTTTTTTTATGACAGTTTCATAAAGGGTTCATAAAATGTTCCCAATAGGCTGGCTGAGAGCAAGGTAGCAGATAGAAAACCAAGTGGGAAATGTTTTGTGGTCATGTCTACAGCAAAAACCAAGCTATCCATCTATGAAGAGTTCCCTTGGCTGGCACCTCCTCCAGGCAGCCCTTCTGGATTTTCCAGGGCTGGGGCAGGAGCTCCTCCTCTGTACTCCCAGTACTCCCTGAACAGAGCTTCAGAGTACAGCTATGCAGTCTTGTCATGGTCTCCTTAGGGGTCTGCGTACCCACTAGAGCCTTGTGTCTAGCCCATAGGCACCTCGAGTTCAGAGAACAGTCTGGACTGTAATTTGCTGAATAAATGATTTTGTGAATGACAGGAGAGACAGTGAGACTGAAAGAATCAGCTTGAGCCTGCCTTTCCAGGGCCTGTCCTGAAACAGAGGCTGCCAACACCAAAGTCTGGGGGTCGAATGAGGGGGCTGCAGGGGAGCCTCCCTCTCCTGTTCTATGGTCTAGGATAGTGATTCCCAGTGTGAGGTCCCTGACCCAGTGGTATTAGCATCCTTCAGGGACTTGTTGGAGATGCAGATTCTCAGGTGCTACCGCAGACCCGCTGCCACAGAAACCCTGAGGTGGGGCCTAGTGATCTGTGGTGTAACAAGCCTGGCTGCTGATTCTGACCCACCAAAGTGTGAGACCCATTGCTGTAATGTTTCAAGGGTGTGCATTCACTTTCCCATAAACTAACACCAAAGAGGAGAGGAGGTAGAGTGTCTCTGAGCAGAGGGTCTTTTCTCTGCTGAAGGCTTCCAAGAAGGCCCCAAGGCTGGGACCCCAGGACATGGCTCCTACTGGACCCCTGCTCCTGAGGTTGAGATCATTGTGTCAGCAGAGCAGGCATGATGGGGACACCTGAGATGCCCCTGCCCTCTCCCAGGTGACCCTAGACCAGACAGGATGCTGCTCCCACCTGGCCTTGAGTCCACGCCATCCCCACTGCTGCTGTCCAGCATCACTTCTAGGTACCCCCTGCAGCAGGGGCCCCAGGGCAGACTTCTGGAATGACACCGCTGAGGGAGACCCTAGAGATCACTGGCTAAAAACACATATGCTGTGCACCCATTGCCCTTTATTCTGGCTACTTCCACACCATTTGGGTCTCCCCCACCTGACTGTGTGCTCACTGAGGACAGGCCATATGTTTTGGCCCCCAAACATACAAGTCTACACAACTCAACATGCACACATATGAACACATAAATACACATGCAACCCAAAACACAAGTATCCAAAACCCAAATTATAATCACAAACACATTCCCAAGCACAACCAAATGCCCCTCAAAACACACTCAGATGCACACACATGCAAACACATTAATACACACACCTCAAAACACACAAGCCCCAATGCGCAGACCCACTGTATCGGCTTCCTAGGTCTCTGCAACAAATTACCACAAACTGTGTGGTCCTGAAAACCAGAAAGTTATACTCGTCCAGTCCTGGAGGTCAGAAGGCTGAAATCCAAGTGTTAGCAGGGCTGTGCTCCCTCTGCAGGAGGGAGGGGAGGACCTTACCTGCCTCTTCCTGCTGCTGGGGCTGTCAGCAGTTCTATGCGTTCCTTGCCTTGCAGCTGCTTCACTCTATTCTCTCCCTCGTCTTTGCATGACCTTCATCTAAGGACACGAGTCATTGAATTCAGGCCCCCCCCCATCATGTGTGATCTCATTTTAACTAATTACATCTGCAAACACCCCCCTGTTTCCAAACGAGGTCACATTCTGTGGTTCCACATGGACATGCATTTTGGAAGGATACTGTTCAGCCCAGTAGATCTACACACCCCAAACACATAGCTACAGAGGTAGGCAGGCAGGCAGGCAGGCAGGCGCACACACACAGACCCCTACCTGGCAGCTGGAACTCTGAGCTCCTGAGAGGAGAGAGAGTCCCCCAGTGTCAGAGCTCTCCACTCCTCCTCTCTGGGTGTCCTGCCCTGAGAAGCTTGCACCCTTATTACAACACTTATCCAATGGTGCCTATTTTCAGTTCTGTTTTGTTGTTTTGCTTTGTTTGAAATGGTAAGGTATGCATATAGTACAAAATTCAAAAAGTAATAAAGAGGCTGGGCGTGGTGGCTCATGCCTGTAAATCCCGGCACTTTGGGAGGCCAAAGTCAGTGGATCACCTGAGGTCAGGAGTTAGAGATGCCTGGCCAACATAGTGAAATCCCGTCTCTATTAAAAATACAAAAATTAGCTGGGCATGGTGACGGGCACCTGTAATCCCAGCTACATGGGAGGCTGAGGCAGGAGAATCGCTTGAACCCGGGAGGCAGAGGCTGCAGTGAGCCGAGATTGTACCACTGCACTCTAGCCTGGGCAAAAGAATGAAACTTCATCTCAAAAAAAAAAAAAAAAAAGGCAATAAAGAGAACAGAGTGAAAGGTAGATCTTCCTCACCCTGCTTCCTTGACATCTAATCCCTGCCCAGAAGGCAAGCACTGGCAACAGTTCTCATGCGTCCTGCTAGAGGAAGTGGAGACACGCAGGAGGCAGCATTCTCCATGTCCCATCTGCATTTTGCTTTTCCTGCCCAACTGTGCACCCATTGCTCTTTATTCTGGCTACTTCCACACCATTTGGGTCTCCCCCATCTGACTGTGTGCTCGCTGAGGACGGGCCATATGTTATGGATCCTGCCTCTCCAGCGCCTAGCTTGGGGCTGGCCTAGAGCAGGTGTTCAGTGAAGGCTGGCTCTATCTAGACAGTAATAAATTGTTAACAGCTGTTTGGATCTGAGTGGGACTGGGGCTCAGCCTCCTGGCTGCAGAGCCTTGGTTGATCAGAGCTCATCCTGGCAGCAGCAGGGGGTGGGGTGGGATGGTCCTAACAGCATTCTGCCTGGCTGCTTCTGCTCATGGGCACCTCCCCACTGGCAGCCTTCACCCCAGTTCTAGCTAGAGCTGACTCTGGGGTCAGGGCCTCTGCTGCTGCATCCCTATGTCTGCCTCCCCTCCCCTTCCTCCTTCCTGTCCCCTCCAGACTCCTGCAGAAGAGGCAGTCAGATTAGAGGCTGGAGGGAGAACCAGGCTGCCTGCCTGCCTGCATCTTAGCCCAGGGGCTGAGCTGAGCCATTGCCCAGCCTTACTGGCTGAAGACTTACTGGGGACTTGTTACCATGGAGATGAGAATTGCAGCAATAACTGAGGGTCAAACTGGATCCTGCAGCTCTACCTAGTTGTTGTGAAAGCATTTGCTCCACAACACTCAAATATGAGATGCACCACATTTTTTTTCAAAATCAAAGATGCCTCAGTCTGAGATTTTACCATGAAAGGCTTTGAGCAAAGCCCTAGGGGGAGACAGAGGTAGACAGGGGCTGCCCAGCCCCTATGAGGCTGGAAGCCCAGAAAAATGCTCACCAGCAGCTCCCTTTGCCCCTCCATGGAAGGACGGCTGAAGTTGCACACTTTGTAAGATCTCCTCCAGCCAAAACACTCTAGGTTTGACATCATGGGGCCACATGAGTCCTACCCCAACCCACTGCCAGTCTTTCCTTTCTTCTGCAAATATTTGTAAAGCGCTCAACCCTATCCAGCGTGGCAGAGGAAATAATCAGCAAACACAGCCAAGGGCTCTGTTGTCAAGGAGCTTCCCTTCCTGGGGAGGTGGGAAGTCAGCCATCTGCTACGTCATCCCATAAACAACATCAAATGTACTAGGTACAACAAGAAAAATTACACTTAATTTTATGGATCCATCGCAGTGTGCTAGGCACTGCTCTAATGTTTCATGTGAGCTGGCTCTCTGAATCCTCACATCTACCCAATAAGGTAGCTGCTATTAACATCTCCATTTTACAGATGAGGAAACGGAGGCACAGGGAGGTTAAGAAGCTTGCCCAAAGACATGGGGCTAGTCAATAGCAGAGGTGAAGCAGGAGAATCGCTTGAACCCGGGAGGCAGAGGTTGCAGTAAGCTGAGATTGCGCCACTGTACTCCAGCCTGGGTGACAGAGTGAAACTCCATTTCAAAAAATAAAAAAACAAGCAAAGTACATAGCAGAGGCAGAACTTGGACCCAGAGAATCTAGTACTAGTAATCCACATTTATGGCGTACACGATGTCTGCCTCCCAAGATGCTCTGAGGCATGGGACTTGGTGGGCTGGACCCAGCCTGGAGATCTTCCCTAAGGAAGCAAAAATTGAGCTGAGATTAACCAGGGGGAGAATGAGTCAAATAATGGGAGGGTGAACCTTCCAGGGGGTGGGACTGGCATATGCAAAGGCCCTGTGGCAGGAGGGATGGGCATATTCCAGAAACTGAGGGATGACCTAGAAGGCTGGAGATGGAAATGAGAGGGAAGTCTGACACAGTAAAGCCAGAGCACTATGCAGGGCTGCACACCCAGGCCTGCTGGCCAAGTTAAGGAGAGCAAAGAAAGCCCTTCTAGCTGATTCCATCACAGCCTAGTCCAGGAGCCACCCCCTCCTCACCGGCCCGCCTCGCACTACAGATTGGGTTCAGTGCATCTGTAAGCCCTTCTCATACTGCATTATCACTGCCTTTCAGCCAAGGCCTTTCTCATTCCTCTTCTGGAAAGAGCTGGAGGGGAGGAACACATCTCATTGTCTTTAGCAAACCCTACCCCAGTAGAGAACTCAGGAAAGAATCTGTGAGAACAGTAGGATGGAAGGGAGATCGCTGAGACCTGGAAGTATACCCAGAAGCCTGCCTGGAGGAAGCAGAGTTGAACTGGGCCTTGCCAATGGAGCATTCCTGCTGGGGAAGGATCAAGGTGCTCTACAGAGGGGAGAAACAGAGGGGGCAGAGACAACCAAGGCCTTTGATGGGCATGATGCCTTACATCTGCTGGAGCTGGGACTTCTCATGGGGAACTGGAGGAGGTGAGACTAGAGGGGCTCCTGGGGCCAAGAGGGCCTCCCCTAGACCCAGCCTCTGCCCTGCAGTGAGCCAGGAGCTGAGAGCTTAGATGTCAGAAGGAGCAGGGAGTTGTGCAGAAGCTCAGGCCTTGGCTTTAGATCTCCACTCCCACTGCACCGCTGTTAGCTGTGTGACCCTGGGCAGGCTGCACACTCTGGACCTCA